TCACAGTGATTCGGTTCTCTTTATCACCCCACTCCATTTTAATATCACAAAATATTTACAATGTATTGACGCGACAATGAGAAAACACAATGAACTATCATATAAAAATGACAGATTCCAAATTCAAATGTAATATTTTGTTTATTTTTTATTGTAACAGTATTTATGGCCATACTATGTAGATATTATGTATGAATATCAAATATTTTAAAAATATATGAGAAATTAAAAATGCCGACAAGTATTTATCTACCTATTTAATTTTGTAAAACTGCTATTCTTTAATTGCTTACTTGTCTATCTTGTCTTAGTCAAATTAAAATATTAATTTTGACTTTGATTGCATGACTTTGATTGCAAGGCTTTACGAATCCTCATAGTTATGGAACATTTTAATCTACTCCGAAAGAGGTTCTCATAGGTTCTTAATAGCCAGTAGAGTTAGTAAAAATAACTGTATTTTAAAATTATGGAAGAAGGTTAACAGGATTGCTTCTAACAAAGCAACAGCCTCGCCTGTAAACATCGATGATTGGGAAGGACACTTAAATTGTAAAATAATTTTGAATTTTGGAATCCAGCAAGCTGCACCAACATAATCACCCTGGAATAGCTTTGAAGCATCGGTAAATATAAGAAGGTGATTGAACCAATTTTGACGAAACAGTGCTTCAAATTTTGTGTTGGTGTCATGTGCTCCCTTAGTCAAACCAATTTCTGTGATTATGGAAGGGGACATATCTAGAGCATTGAAAGGAGTGCAGAAGATAGGGTTAGAGGGGAAACAAAAGACGGGGTGTGGTAGGTTAGTAAACTTAACGAAACTATCTAGTAAAAAGAATAATGGCTTATTCGCAGGGCTAAGCTCAGTCAACTGCCGAAGCCTTGACCACAAGGGATGGGCAGATAAGTGTAATGCCTTACCAACAAAGCGATGGGTTAGATACTGGCGACGGATAGGTAAAGGAAACAACAACCCTATTAACAGACAATTAAAACTATTAACAGAAATGCGAGGTCATGTGTGTAAATGCTGTAAAGCATAGGACTAAGGACCAAGCCTTTAGGCAATCCTTTCCAGACTAGTCTGGGAGGTAGCGTATGTAGGCGGTGTTTCACAGAATAGGTATCTACCGGCTAGCAGATTACATATGAAATGTACCAACCTCGCCGGTATAATCAGCTGTTGCAATTTCTGCCTGAGCAACAGAATAACAACATTTTCATATGCAGAAGCTATATCCAGAAAGGCACCAACTAAGTTCTGTTCTTTTGCATAGGAGGGGATAGTTTGTCGTCAAAATCATTAAGCTATTCTGGTGGATTCTTGGAGCCTTGATGGGGAACAACATCAAGAGCCCGGCGAAACCAAAAGGTTAAAAAAACTGTCTCTAAACAAGAAGGTAGAATATTCCACGATAGTAAGGAAGAAATAGATGGAGAAGCTTGTGATAGGTCTACTGCAGTCTTAGGATTTTAGTTAGGATATACTCTACGGGTTGGTGGACCATCATTAAAAATACAAAGATTGAGGTCATCAATCATGTCCACCAAGGATATGACAAAGGAGAGAATCCATCACAAAAATAACACCCCCAAAAAGTGTGATGAGTATTAAAATCAGCCATGACTAATGTACAGGACTGGGGAGTGAAAAGATGATAGACTGTAACTCTCTCTGACTATAATAAGGGAGAGGGATTAAACAATATGGAGTGGAATGGCGAATAAGAATGGCACTGCCCCTATACCCGTCACTTCTGTCATCTCTCAAACAGGCAAAATCCTGAGATCCTGAAACGGGAACCACGAATCAACCATGTTTCAGAGAGGCTAATAATGACAGGCTCATAAAGGGCAACAATAGTAAGCAGTTCATGTTTTTAGAGCGTATATTTTTACTATTCCACTGAAGAAAGTTGAGTAGGGCCATTTTTAAGGATATTAAATATACGAAGTAAGTTTTGGGCAACGTCAGATGGTAAATGAATTTCATCACCGGCTGATATAACAGATACAAGAGTTCCAGTCAAACTAAATAAACTGAATAATTGATTGAGAGAAATCATTAGAGACTTTGCTTTTATTGCTGAGAGCATAGCCATTAAGGTAACTATATACTCGTAGCATGCTATGCTCTCACGATGTTTTCCTTCACTGTAAGACAAGTTGTAATCATGGTGGAAATGATTCGCTCATCAAAATAAGTATCAGAGGAGTGAGACCCGGGATTTGAACCCGCTTCACTCGGTTTCCCAAGCGAGCGCGTTATCACTGGGCTACCACTGCCTTCATATCCCTTAATGTTATAGTGTAATTCAAGAGATAGGTAAAGTGTAGATTTCATTTGTTTTGAAATATCTGTGGTTAATTGAAAAACTGTTTCTCCCAATTATGAGTGTCATACTAACTACTTGTCGGCATTTAAAAAAATGTTTACATAATAATTGTCTATGTCATTACAGTGATGGTTATGAGTTTCTGTCATGTTGGTACTCTGTCTATACTTTGGTCTGGGAGTTATGAATCTTAAAGGTTCACTACATAATTATATATGTTAAGTGTAAATATAAATAGAAGATACATAGATAGATAATTCTTCTTGGTTGTGCATTAAAATTTAATATATATTTTTGCATTTGTAGGGATGCTTAAAGATAAAACATTAAAAAAATCGTTAATTTTAAAAATTGCACATTTTCACTAGGTCAATTAATTTTTGAAGGACCAAATAATATTATCTCTTATTGTTATAGTGTATTTCTAGATATAGGTAGAGTAAGAGTAGATTTCATTGTTTTGATATATCTGTGTTTAATTGGAAAACTATTTCTCCTAGTTATGAGTGATATACTATCTCTGTCACATTGTCGGCATTTAAAAAAAAGGTTTATAATATAATAATTGTCTATGTCATTACGGTTAAAGATAATTAAGTATTAATAAGGAATTTCTGTCATGTAGGTACTCTTTTGGTACTTTGGTCAGGGAATTATAAATCTGTAAGGTTCAGTACATAATTATATATGTTAAGTGTAAATATAAATAGAAGATACATAGATAGATAATTCTTCTTGGCTGTGCAATAAAATTAAATATATTTTTTTTTCTTTTTGCGTTTGTAGAAATGTTTACCCGCTGGTAAATAAAACAGAGTGAAATAAGTTAAAAACGTAAAGTAATATGTTTTATAAACTTTTTAGTTATATAAAATTTAATTTAAAACCATTAGGTTGCTTAATTTTTGCTTTATGTATATTACATAAAAAGAAATCTTATACTGGTTTCAAAATTATTTTATTAATAATATACATATGTATATATGCTTTAGGTGTCTATTTGAACTAAGTAGTAAGTGTCAATTTCCTATGTAACATGAAAGGGTTTTGGAAATATGAGGGTATGCAAAATTTATTACAGATTAATATTTATCGTAACGTCTATCTGTGCGTGATATTCTACAAACTGTATTAACTTCTTATGTGTATATATATTTCTGGAGTAAAGAATGTCTGTTTCATTTATTGTTTCATTGATTGAACTTTTTTCTATAAACTTAAATATTATCCTATGCACCCACCTCTGTCCAATATATCCACTTTTAAAATAAAATATTTAAAATACTTATAAGTATCGTAGCGTAGATTACATTAAAAATCATATATATATATATATATATATATATATATATCAATTTTGTTGATTTTTCGTTTGCTTAACACAATGAATGGGGTTCAGTTTTTTTTTAATGTTGAGCTATTTTAAAAATGCCAATAAAATCGGATATTAATTATATATTTATTATGATATGTGTAGTTTTGGAACCATTTTATAAGTTAGCCTAACTAAAATATTCAGAATCCTAAATTTATATAAAATGTTTCATTTTTAGTTTAGGAATATTCAAATAATATCTTAAAAAATATGTGGATTAAATACTGTACCATCAGTTTAAATTATCTAACTTGCTTAGTGTACTATGTTTCGTTGTGTGTATGTATGTGTCGTTTATGGTTGTGTTTCGGCACCTTCGGAGGTCCTGGGTTCGAGTCCTGCGCCTTAACTCTCAGTGGTCGTGTCGAGTAGTTATGGAATCAGAGTATGAGAGAGACATGAATAGAGAGTACACTTGGAGTCTGCGTCACACTATCTCCTGCGCAGATGGTCTCAATAAGATTGACCACCGTGGCCGAAATCGGTCGGGAAGACAATATTATTACATTACATTTTTATCCTCGTAAGGGATTATTTCTGGGATAAAAACTATCCTATATCCTTCTTCACAGGGTCTCAAACTATCTTATGTACCAATATTGTATACTAGCGACTCACCCTCGCTTCGGTCGGGTTTGTCCATCGGTTGCTCTGGCATACAGTACAAACAAACAAATCATTCCTCTTTTTAATATTATAGTATAGATTAAATGATTTAAAAGTTTAAAATTGACTTTAAAGTTTAGTCAATGCAATAAAAATGGCTACGAGGTAGTGTAAATATGATGTGTACATATGTATATTGTATACTATATATTAAACTTTAAAATATATATTAAACTTTAAAATATTTTGAAATTTGTCTTATAAATGTAGGCAACTTGAATTATTGATATTGCAACACTAACCAGTCTTTGATGGTAACTTTTTTATTCTATAACCAAATAGCTTATCTGTGACGAGAGAGTTGTTAAGTTTATTATTTATCTATGGTTATTGGTTATTAATCATTACTCTGTGGTACGTCGAACTGCATGAAATGAAGTGCTGTAGTTGTACAAAGTGAAGTAAAAGAAGTTACATACATAAAAAAGACTGACTCAATAACACCTTTCATAATACTTTGGAATGAATCAAAAGCAAAATCTATGAAAAAAATGTTAGTCACGAAACGAAAGTGATATCTATGGCTTGTGATGTATTATAATATGAGAAATTTTCGAATAATTGCCAAAAAATAGTCATAGTAAGATGTAATCAAATTTTTATAAGGTCCACGTCCAGACATGGGTTCCAGATTACGGTAATATATTATTAAATTTTTATGTAGCGCTAATTGTGACACATTTTCGTAATTTACTATCCTGTTGTTAGATTTAGATATTTTGCCAAATCATCTAGCTTCAGGATATCGTCGTCTTAAACTGTTTCATTTTTATTTAATTTTGTTTTATTGTCTGTTTGTCATTATCGCTAGTTATTATTTTTTATTTTGGTCTGACATCTATTTCCTGTGTAATCATCAATGTTTGTTTGAGTGCCATTGATAACTCCCCCTTTTATATGTTCCATGTACACATTATCTAGAGTAGATACAGTAATTTAATTTTTATATATGATAAAAAGTTTGAGATGAATGCCCATAAGTTACATGTTGTGTAAGTAGTTTTCTAATTGTAGCTTATCTTTAATTTCTATTGATACTATTTATCATTTGTTCAGTTGTATATTAAATGAAAATTAAAATTTGTTTATTACACACATACCACCATATGGTAAGATTATTACACAAATTTGTTTATTACACAATTCGCTGGTTTCATATAATTATTAGGATTATTTATCTATATTGTTAAGACAATAAAATAGGGACCTTAAAATAAAATGGTGTTTCATTTCAAGCTATTTTTATATTACATCTTTAATAATCTAAAAATTTTCATATTTAAAGACATTTTGCTATTAAAGGCTGTTATTAAAATTGAATGTTATATATTTCAGAGATACCGTGCGCTTCCTATTTGAATTATTCTGTGAAGTATCCCCCGGTGATCATGTGAGAGATCCATATATTCTAAGGAAATATCCCGATTCATATAAAAATGAAGAAGAATTGAAAAATGTACCTAAGTTTACATTCCCATGTCAATTGGAAAAGTGAGTGAAGTGAAGCCTACTACAGGCACTGCAGTGTTTTCTAAATTTTATTCAAGTTATAACCAAATAAATTTATATATTTTTAGATGTTTTTGGGTTCTGTTTTTATTGTAATAAGCTGGTTGTACTTTGAAATTATATTTCAACATTATATTTTTCAACAGCTTTGGTCTCTAATCTATACTTACTTATTCCTCCATCAAAAGTATTATCTGTACATATAATAAAATTCTAACTGACTCAGGAAAATCTTATTGAAATAGTCATTATTATGGATACAAAGGCCAAGTCAATAGGTTTTAGAATTTTTGTCTGTGTGTCTGGGAATGCATCATGAGAAAACCGCTGGACAGATTTTGATGATATTTGGTACAACAATAGCTTGTTATCCGGGACAATGTATGGGATACTTTTTACTTTTTTACAGCGGGAAAATGTCTTTTCATATAATATGCTGAAAAACTTGTATTTGAAATGAAATTCTTACATATATACACATCTTTGAAAATATCTTTCATTTTCCTACTGTAAGAAATATTTAAATGTTTAATTTTTGTTTGTTTTTAGCACATTTGTTCAACATTACTCATTTGTGATGACATCTGTAGACTCCAAATATACATTTTGTTTCTGCCGATATGATCCCAAAGCGAACACAGCACTTGTGCTACTATCACACTTGCCCTGGCATGATATATTTTACAAGTGAGTTAATTGTACATTATGAATTTAATAATATCAATTATCAAATAAGTAAGTCATAGGTAAAGAGTAAAATAAAGCCATACTTTTAATAATATAAATGTGAAAGTGTTTGTTTGTCCTTCTTTCACATTGAAACAGAGTGATGGGTCTGTGTGATTTTTTGTGTGGAGGTAGTTGGAGGGCCATAGAGTGATATAGGCTGCTTTATACCATGGGAGATTATCTCTTTCCAACGGGAAAACATATTAGAATACAACAGACCTAGGGATGAACCCATGCTTCTTGAGGGTAAGCCACTAGTAAATTATAAATAACATTTCTATGAATAATTTAGCTAATAAATGACTTATTTGATAATTGATTTATGTATGTATTGAGCACTGGCTACTGATGATAGATATTTCAAATGAAATGTGACAAGTGCCGTTTATCACAATTTATTACTTCTTTGCATTGCGAAATTCGACCTTCTATTTATGTATCTATGTATATCTATATGTATGCTTATAATAAAAGACATTATTAGCGATACAGATGCCGAACCTATAGTTTTTAGATTTTTTGTTTCTGTTTGTCTGTCCGCGACCGCATCACGGAAAAGCCACTGCAGGGATTTTGATGAAATTTGTTATGATGAAGCTGGTTATCCGGGTCAACATATAGGATACTTTTTAGTGCGGGAAAATATCTCGTCTCTGAGAAATCTATATTAAAAGTTAAAACGTAAGTAGGGACGAACCCGAGCGGACCGGATTTAATAGCGGATTAATTTTGATATTTTTTTCGGCAATATCCGAAAATATTGTTTTATAAAATGTCAAATATTCGCGTAAATCTAAGAAGGTATTATGTATTATATATTTTTATTCCAGTTATATATTTTCTTTACATTATTGTTCAATATGTTGTAAAGATATTGTATGTTTTTGTAAGTTCGTAACATTTGCTTGTAATATGAAATTACAAATATAATATATAATATAATATTTAATGAAAACGATTGTGTGTTTAAGTTTATATCAATTGTAAAATCCTGTATCTATTTCAATGGTGTTTTATTAATAACGTAGATAATGCTTTAACTTTAATTAATAATTAGATTTTACTCGCGGCTCCGCTCGTATATACTATAAACGATACTACAACCAAACAATTTAGCCTCATTTTTTTTTTTTTTATTTGTCTGTGGTATTTTAACTTTCTAACGTCCCTTCTACATTTTAATAATGTTGTAGTTCATATTAAACTTGCTAAATATGCGATGCGAGTATTAATTCAGGAGTTTGTTTTTGTATATAAGTTTCGTTTGAAATAATTTGCACGCGAAATTTGGTATTTAGCTATATTAATACTAGCATTTTGCCTCGACTCTCCTTTGGCTATTTTCCTACAGATTTCGACAGAATGAGTGGTTTTGATTTAAAATTAATCAAGTTTCGTTGAATTTCTATTAAATCCATAATTTGTTAGTTTATAATATATCTATAATTACCTATATAAATTGTTATCCGTACTAATATTACAAATGCGAAAGTAACTCTGTTGGTTTGTTTGTTTATTTTTTACCTTTTCATGACTAAACGGCTGAACCGATTTAGATTAAAAATTGGTATGGAGATAGTTTGAGACTTTAGGACATAGGATATAGGATAGTTTTTACCCCGGAAATCAATATAAGGGGGTGAAAGTTTGAATGAGGAATCATTCATTCCTCAAGTAAGACTTACACTCATCATATCTATGTATATTATTTAGTCTGTCTATTTCATAATAACCGTCAAAACGTACTTAAGATAGAACCAGAGCGAAGCGAGGGTGAGTCGCTAGTGATAATATAAATAAAACTCGAGTAAATTTTTTTACCCATAATGTTAGCTCTCTAGTGTGTTTTTTATCGTCTTTACAACGGAGAGTTTTGTGATGAACTTTTTGATATATTGCCACCGTCACGCTTCCATCATCGCACCCTTCGCCGTCGGGTTGGATGTCATTCACACATTTTAGATGCTTTGCATCCTACAGATGTACGTCTATCTCGTTCTTTTTTACCTCGTACGTGCAAAATTTGGAATGATCTTCCTCCTGAGGTATTCCCTGAGCGCTATTATAACATGGGGATCTTCAAGAACCGTGTCTTCAGGTCCCTTAAAGGCTGGTAACGCATTCACAACCCCTCTTGTATTGTAGATGTCTATTAGCGGCGGTAGCCACTTACCATCAGATGGTTCGTTTTCTCGTTTGCCCCTTTAAAAAAAACGTATTTTTCATCTTTGATTAGAAATTGTACTAATATTCTAAAAAGTAATGCGAGTTTTTTTTAATTTAAATCATTGAAAGTGATACGTGACGCGAGAACAAAATTTATTATTACATTACAATAGCAGACTAAAGCAGCGCGATTTACAATTGATTTCAATAGACGTAATAGAACACGATGCCAATATTTTTACAATGCGAAGAATAGTATTGTAACTGAGTATTGCGATTTTTTTAGTTCTAAATAAGAATTTTATTAATTCGAACGTATGAAGGAAAATTGTTAATATATATATATATATATATATATATATATATATGTATATATATATGTATATATATATATATATATATATATATATATATATATATATATATATATATGTATGTATTTAGTTTGGAATAACTCATTTACTTAACATAATTTGTACTAATTGAATTACTTGTATTAAGGATAGTAGCGTTTGACAATTTTATTCATTGGTAGTTTATTTTTGACTGAAAACACACTTTTGTGTGTACCTTATATGATACTAGCGACTCACCCTCGCTTCGCTCAGATTCGTTCCTAGCTTGATTCTCCATAAAACTTTCATCCCAATTTTAAATAAGTTATAACCTGGTTGTTGGAAATTAAAAAAAAACTCCGTGTCTAGATCTTTTTGGTAAAAAGAAACTATTGTATCTAAATTGCCTTAATACTTAGTTACAATATTAGTCATCGCAACCATTTATTTAAGTATGAAAACAGATACAATAATGAAAATATTTTTTTTTAATTTCAGATTATTAAATTGCATAGCGAATTTACTAAATAGTACCGAGAGGGGTGAACTGACGTCGTTTTTAGAAGCATGCCGGATAAGACCCCCTATGCCGGGACATACACTAAAAGTGACATATAATGCGGGACACAGTGTATTCTCATGCCAGAGTCCGGATAACAAATTGCCAAGTATACCGGAGAATGTGAGTATTCACCAAAGAAATGACCCCTTCTTACCTTCTGGGTGGGTCCTAGTAATAATTTTAGTGGTTTTTTATATGGGTTTTACAGGATTTATGATATTACCTAGATACGTGTTAACGTTTAGTATAGATTTTTTAGAGATGAGACATTTTCCTGCAGTAAAAAGTATCCTATATGTTGACCCGGATAACAAGTTATCATCATACCAAATTTCATCGAAATCTGTCCAGTTGTTTTCTCGTGATGAGATCACAGACAGACAGACAGGCAAAAAATCTGAAAACTATAGAATCGGCCTCTGTATTGATAATAATGACTATTTCAATAAGATTTTTCAAAAATTATTTAATGTACAGATTCGACTAAGTTAGGATTTTAGTATATGTATAGATTTTGTAATAATAAGATGCTGATAGTATTATTGGCGATATTTTCTCTTTGACACACAATGATGGTGACGGTGTTAGATTTTTCTTTATTTCATTATATTATAAACTAGCGACTCACCCTCGCTTCGCTCGGATTCGTCTAGTTACGATTTAACGGTTAGTATGAAATACAAATCTTTGATTTTCTCGGTTTTTCTGTACTATAATATGCATGTATTATACTTATAAACCTTCCTCTTGAATCACTCTATCTATTGCTGAAAACTGCATTAAAATCCGTTGAGTAGTTTAAAAGATCTAAGCGAACAGACAGCGGAAGTGACTTCATTTTATACTATGTAAAGATATGGAAGTTTCTTAGGAGTTCAGTGTGTTTGTTACTTCTTAAAGGTGTGGGCGGTAGCTATTTAACCGATTTGAATGACATTAATGAATATTGCTTATATACTGAATGTTTTTAAAATGCGGGTATAGCCACGACCTATAACTAGTGTCTTCTAATAAAACCAACTTCAAATTTAACAATTATAAGAATGTAATTATATAAATAAAACTTTATCTCGAAACAAAAGATTCGCTTCGCTCGTCCAGTAGGTTATCGTCCATTGGTGACAATGCAAGTACCACTAACATTTACGTGATGCTGCTATTTGACATTGTCAGCATCAGAGCAGATAAAAAATATATTTTTTAGTAAAAAATTACGTTTTTTTTTTCAGACAAGACACCTATTTAGACATACTTAAAAAGCAAAATCTTATCTACATAAATACCACATTCAATCCAAATTAGGGCCGTTTCCGAAATACGCGAAATAAATATACATACCTAGGTTCGTTTTAACGATAAATAGGTATCGAATATATAGACTATACGTGTATTATGTATATACATAGTTATGATGAGTTATTGTGGGTTGTATTATAACGTGTTTTCCCGTGGGAATGAGATAATTTCCCGCGTAGAAGTAAAATAAGCCTATGTAACTCTCCAGCCCTCCAATTATCTCCACACAAAAAATCACGCCAATCCATCACTCTGTTTCGACATGAAAGAACGACAAACAAACATATAAAAAAATAATATTAGTATGGATAACTCATTTAATATAACAAATAACAGACCTTATAACAAGTTCAAATTTATACTAAACAATTTTTAAACGAACTTAATATACTGTGTTACAGTGCAATCTAACGGAATACTTCAGTGCAATGGATGCTAGATGTATGGCGGGTCTATGGGCGGCACTTCTTCATGAAAGGAGGATAGCTATAGTGGCAACGAAACCCTCAAGACTCTCGGCTTGTGTACAAGCGGCCAACGCCACGCTATTTCCTATGTCTTGGCAACATATATTCATACCGATCCTACCAAAACACCTTGTAGACTACCTTCTAGCTCCCATGCCGTTTCTCATTGGAGTCCCTAGAAGTGTTATGGAGGTAAGTGGTATTTTTTTTGCTGTTTCTGTGCATCGATCAAAAATGTACTAAATACACAATCCCATGCAAATGTTCTCTTAAAACTGTCACCGATTGTGTTTAGGTAATTGTTCTAGTTGAAATAAATATACAACAATGTAAATTGAACTTTGAATGCAACGCTTAAAGTTATTTTAGTTGTTGTTTGTGCGCTTATTCAGTGAATACCGTTTTTGTCGCTGATTGTGTATTTAGTACTTTTTTGATCGATTTTTTTGTGTGTTTGTTTTGAAGTGAAATTTCTTCGCGCGCGTGAGAGTAAAATTTCAAGGTCGCGTCACGCAAAAAACGTCACGGTTGCCATAGTAATAGTCTAAAAGATAACATAATATATAATATTTTTTCCGTTGCTATCTTCAAAGATCTTTCGTTTGTCTGTGCGTTTGTGCGAGTCAATCTCAGAAACGGATTAACCGATTTGAGTGCGCTTTTCACTAATGTATTCTTCGCACATGTCCCTAGGTGATTCTTTAATTGACATAATTTTTTTTATTTATGAACCGATTGAAATGAAACAAATACTAAATGTTAAGTGAAGCTTACCACAATATATTAGTGAAAACCGCATCCAAATCGGTTTAGCTGTTTCTGAGATTAGCGCGCACCAACGCACCGACAAACGGATAAAAATTCTAAAAATCATGGTTTTGGGTTCTATTGCGTAAATAAAGACCCCCAATGATAGTTTTTCTCAAATGTCTTAAATGTACAGACAGCGATCAGTTACATTTTTATTATATATATTAAATATTTATTTTATTTACTTCTAGACCGTACGGATGTCTGAAGTAGGTGACGTTGTTGTATTAGATGCGGACGCTAACGAGCTGAGATCTCCCTTTCATGATTTAGAAAGTCTTCCGCAGGACATGGTAAGATATATTTATATTTCTTTATTATTTTTTAATGTACCATTAAAATATATTTGACATGATGTATGGTTCAGTTTGTAGTTACCCTACTTGCTGTGCCAGCGGTCGCAGGTTCGAGTCCCGCTGGAGGTATTCATTTGTGTGATGAACATGAATATTTGTACTCCAGTTATGGGTGTTTATATTTATAATTTGTATGTATTTAAAGTTATATATGTGTAGTGTATCAACTATCTGGTATCCATAACACAAGCCTCGTAGCTTGCCATGGAAGTAGATGGTGCTGTGTGTTCATGTCCCAACATATTTATTTATTTATATGTTAAACAAATTAAAGTGACAAAACGTCGGCAAAGGATAGCTTATCTTTTTAAGAATTTTTTTTCAGAAACCCTTCAGAAGTGAGAAAATGAGTTGATTTAGTATGGTGTAGGTACAGTACTGAATCAAATGGTATTTTTATTTTAAAATATATCAACCTTTTTATGTTATTTGGTATATGGTGTTTATCTATACTAATATTATAAAGAGGTAAAGTTTGTGAGTTTGTGACTTTATAGGGGGTAATCTCTGGATCCACTGAACAGGTTTAGATGAAATTTGGTAAGAAATCATCGGGAATATTATCATCATATATATCAGTCTAATATTATTTTTTTTTATTAAGGGGATGAAAGTTTGTATGGGAAAGTTTGTAAGGGACGAACGCGACTTAAGCGAGGGTGAGTCGCTAGTGTTATAATATAATTATAACTATAATTTGATTATTTTCATAATATGATTAGTTTCGTAATATGAATATTTAATCAAAGTCACAAATTAAAAAAAAATAACTCATGGTGGACTATGGCCTGATTCCCCTCGTTACTAAAGGTAGGCCCACCCCACCAGTGGGTCAGTAAAAGAACTGAATAACATAATAATTAATCTGTATTGCAATATTGCAAATATATTTTTAAATCCATACTTAATATTATAAATGTGAAAGTGTGTTTGTTTGTTTGTCTTTCTTTCATGTCGTTTCGTGGCGTTATTTTTTGTGTGTAGATAGTTACAGGCTGAGAGTGTGTATAACATAGCACCTCTGATATTTTCATGTGCGAATCATTTCCAACATGAACAGGAAAACATCGTGAGGAAACCTGCATGTCTGAGAGAACCTAGCAAGTTTTCGAAAGACATGTGAAGTCCGCCAACCCGCACTTGGCCAGCGTGGTGGACTATGGCCTGATCTCGTATTGAAGGGAGTCCCACCCCCAGCAGTGGGACATTAAAAAGGGCATGAACGCATTAAGTGTGAAATGGCCAATTGAAATTGCTTCTAAGAGTCCATTTCATAGAGTATATTTTGCTTTGTTTATGATAAAGTGTAAAACGTACAATATTTCATATTAATGATACTATTTGGTTGTTTCAGGTAGCAAGTCTGAAGAAGGCACTGAGCGATAAGAACGCGTTAGGTGACGCCGTGTCAAGAGCTTTCCTAAGGGCTCTGGTGTGTTTGATCGGTGGTTATAGAGATGCCATTAGGTAAATAATAATAATCTAATATATTTAAAACAGCAATTCTTGTATATTTATATATTTATATATACTGGCGATCTCGGAAACGGCTCTAACGATTTCGCTGAAATTTGGTATGTGGGAGTTTTTGGGGACGAAAAATCGACCTAGATTCGTCTTATGTCTGGGAAATCGCGTGTTTTCGAGTTGTCATGCGCAATCCCGGGCTAATACAAAGTTTTTATTTTTATATTTATTTTAGTTTTTTTTTTTTAATAGGAAATTGTATTTTTGGCCTAAAACTAGATTATCATCTAAAAATACGATATAACATAAAAGAACTTCGAGCGAAGCTCGGTCGTCCAGGTACTCCACACTAATATTATAAATGCCGAAGTAACTCTGTCTGGATAGTTTTTACCCCGGAAACCATCCCTTAAGAGGGTGAAATAGGGGTGGAAGTTTGTAAAAGGTATTAACCGTTTCTCAAGTAGGGGATATAAATCTTATCATATTTATACTTTTATGCTTCGGTGCTTATGGTCGTAAAGGTGAAATAGGGGACGATTCCAAGTTTTTTTATTAAATATTTACCTACTTTTCTGTACCTATGTATGTATAGTCTAACTATTCTATACTAATCGTTTAAACGTACCTAGGGGCTAAGGTGAGTCGCTAGTTATCATAATAAAGCCTTTATTGTACACCCAAAAAAAGCAAAGAAAAATAACCTTATTATGTATACCTTATATATTATCTTATTGTAGCTTTTAAGGTTTGAATGGTAATATAGTACTTTGGTAACATGGAGCTGTTGATGGAGCCAGAAGGAACCTTCAATGGCTATACATCGTTTCAGTGCTTGTTTGTCCAAACGACCATCCTAAAGATTTTTTAATACGGAATTATTCACTGTTAAAAGTCAGTTCTATATGATTAAATACACATTTTACTTTAACAAAGCGGAAGAAATGTATTTTGTATGTGAAACGTCTTTGCGCGCATGGGAGTAACATTTCAAGGTTGTGTCACGAAAAACCGTCACGGTTGCGGTTGCCATAGTAACCGCTTGCGTTGGGTTGCCATAGTAACCGTTGTTATTGTCTGAGGAATTATATCTATACGTATAATAAAGTTGTAACTAAGCCGAATCTGTACATTAGATATTTTTTGGAAAATCTTATTGAAATAAACATTATTATCGATACAGAGGCCGAACCTGTAGTTTTTGGAATTTTTCGCTGTCTGTCTGTCTGTTACCGCATCACAGAAAAACAACTAGAGGGATTTTAATGAAATTTGGTATGGCTGATAGCTGGTTATCCGAGTCAACATATAGGATACTTTTTACCGCAGGAAAATATCTCATTTTTGAGAAAAATACAAAAACTGCAATGTAAGTGTATACTAATATGTAAAACCTAAGAATTTGGTTTTTGGTCATATGAAAGCGGTCGGAGCCGCGGGCAACGCTAGTATATGATATTGTTTCAATTGCTATATTCAAAGATTTATTTTTACTAATTACTTTTCAAATATGCAAAATAACTAGCGGTGGTATATGCGATACATGTAAGAATCCAGCTAAGATAGAAAGAGATAATATATTACTCTCTCCTGTTTGTGTGAGATTCGTTTGAATCATATTTTTGAGTGTAATTTTAAAAATTTTTAGTAAATAATTTATTAATCTTTCAGATTTCGAATATAAATAATCAATGAAGTTTCACGTCTAACACGTTTCCATAGAATCTTGATTTTTTTATCTATATTTGTATATAGTTCTTAGATATAAAGCTTTGTTTTTTAAATAGAGAAATAAACTATCTACTGTAAAGTACAAGTGTTGGTCTTTTGAACAAATAAGCACTAAGGCAACGTAAAACCTTCAAGATTAGGGTGTTTTGATTTGATAAGTCCAATTACACATATTATTCATATTGCGTAGTAAAAAGAGGATTTTTATGTCGAAAATAAAAAATATATATACCATATTTACTAGGTTTTAAATACGCCTTTATTAGTTTCACCTGTACGTTTGTTACGGAATCTTTGAACACTATTTTCGCCCATTTCAAAAACTTCAGAAAATCAAAAAAAAACACGCTTTAATAGCAGATAAACTAAAAAATTGAAAATAAATTATATATATTTACGCTCCGCTCGGGTTCGTCCCTAGTGAAAACTTAGGTTTGTATGTATTTTTTTAATGCCGAAGCATAAAAAAAATTAAATAAAAAAGATGGCCAAAAAAAAAAAAAATTTTTAGGGTGGACCGGACCACCCTTATCACTTAGGGGTATGAAAAATAGTTTAGGTCCTATTCTTAGACCTACTGAATCTACACACAACATTTCATAAGAATCGGTCAAGCCGTTTCGGAGGAGTTTAGTTACAAGCACTGTGACACGAGATTTTTATATATTAGACTTAAGATGTAAATTTTTATAATTCATTAATTTAAATAAAACTTATCATTTACATCTAAGCGCACTTCGCTTTCATAAAAAGTATTTGTCACAATAACATGGTATAGGAAATTGTTGGAGTATTTTTATTGGTTTCATCTCAGACTAAGGGATAATTTACCTCTTGGTTAAGACCTCTATAGGTTTTTTCCGATATCTTCAACAATCATCGTCATATTTCAGTTAATTTACACAAAACCTTAATCTATACTAATATTATAAAGAGGTGAAGTTTGGGAGTTTGTGAGGTTGTAGGTGGTAATCTCTGGATCTACTGAAACGATTTAGATGAAATTTGGTAAGAAGAATATATAGTTTGAGATCCTTGGAAGGACATAGGATACTTTTTATCCCTTTTTATCCTTTAAGAGTGTTAAAAAGGGGATAAAAGTTTGTATAAGAAAGGAAGCTAGGGACGAACCCAAGCGAAGCTAGAGTGAGTCGCTATTGAATTATACACCTAAACTCTCCTCATGTGTCAGTCCGCCCATTGGTGAAAACCGTATGAAAATCCGTTCGGTAGTTTTATCGCGTTCAGACAGACATATGCGGCGGTAAGACTTTGTTTTAAAATATGCAGTGATGCGTACACACCGTCTGTAAAGTATATGATAAGTCGAAAATTAAATATAATCGCGTTCGTATTTCTAAACGCTCCCTAATAAAGATGATGCAAACAGTATATATGAAACTAAACATCAATTAAACTTTTAAAGCAATAAGATGAACAGTAAATTAGTATAACAAAATATATAATATTAAGAGTATAATAACGAAACATTCTGAGTCATCGAGTGTCTGTTTGTCAATAATACACGTTGTAACGGCTCTACAGATTTGAGTGAAACTCGTAATAGAGATAGTTTACAATCATGATAAACAATTAGGCTATTTTTGACACCATGAACGAAACCGCTCACAAAAACTAGTGCACTATAGTCAATGTATACAAAATATCAAAGTTCAAGTAGATAAGTCGTATCCACTTAGTCTATTAGAAATGGTTACAAGACAATTTGCATATACTGATTTACACCGACTGCCATTGACATACATATCGCCAGGGAATTTTCCGTTTAAATTTTATATATAAACCAGCAAGTTAGATAAGTTTTAATTTTTTTGAGCACAATCCTAATTCTTGTTATAAAATAAAAGTAGCTTAAGTTACTCCTAATAACATCAGCTATCTGTCAGTGAAAGTCCCGTCAAAATCGGTCCAGACGTTTCGGAGTTTGGCGAGCACAAACAGACAGGCAAACGAAAATTTTAAATTAATGTGTTTTTCTTATATTATGTACAGTGTATACATACTTTAATATGCATTTAGTAAAAAATTGTGTACATTTCGATATTACAAACGGACACTTTAATTTTGTTTATCAATATATATAAATTTGAATTATCTTCCTTTGGTAATATTTTTTCGGCATTAATAAAATTTTTATAATACGAAGATATATATACGGCACAGACTAGAGTCAAAACTAAAATTACTTGAATGAATGTGTGACATGCGCAAGAAGGGAAACTTCTGTAGGTTATCGATAATTTTTGTTAAATTCAATTTATGTTTTAAATAATTAGGGTAGTGATACAAAAAAATATTTTTTATCCGAATAAATACTTTTTTTTAACTTGACGGTGTGGGTCTAACCTTGTTCTTAGTATATTTTTACTTTTATTTATAATGTAAATAGTCCAATTTGCGTTTGCTATTTTAATCAAATATACTCAATTTTATCATCTATATTTTTTAATTATATTATTATTATTATCTATATTAGTTACGTTATAACGTTTAGTATAGATTTCCCGCAGTAAAAAGTATAAATGTTGACCCAGATAACCAGGTGTCATTATACCAAAATCTCTCCAGTGGTTGCTCCGTGATGCGGTCACAGACAGACAGACAAAAATTTTACAAACTATAAATTCGGCCTCTGTATCGATAATAATCTCTATTTCAATAAGATTTTCCAAAAAATATTTGATGTACAGATTTGGTCTAGTTACAATTTTATTATATGTATAGATTATAAGCGAAGTCACGCTGCAAAAATAAACTTGTTATATAAGCATCGTATCGTAACAAAGTACATAGATACACTTGAGAGTGTTGCTATAATGTATTCATTGGTAGCGATCGTTATATTATTACTTTGAATTGCTCTAATAACCAATAAGCACGTCTTCATAGGGATGTGTTACGCACATTCGATTACACTTATACTTAACGTAATACTTTGTTAGATTTATGCGAATATTTGACTATCTATCTATCTTTTATAAAAAAAATGTTGCTAAGCTCAAAACTCGAGAACGGTTCGATCAATTCAGCTAATTTTTTTTTCGTATGTTCCTCGAAGTACACGGAAAGTTTTAATAAAGAGAAAACATATAAAATAAGATAAATATATATGAAACAAAGTCGTGTTAGTTACACAATTTATAACTCAAACTGCTGGACAAATTTTTATGATATTTGGTTTTTTGGATTTCTCTTAGGCCGGAATAGGATACTAAGTATTAAAACATAACAAAAATTTAAATTTGTATGGCTAACGCTGGCTAGTAATTATTTATATTTATTTAAAGTTTTAAATAAAACTATCTTTTTTTTCGCGAATTTATTTTGATTTTTGGTTCCCGACGGTGCGAATGCTTTACAGCAATCATGGTGACGAGAGCGACTCTCTCGGGGAGTCTCGCGAAATAATCCGAAAATATAGTTTTATTTAGGCTTAGCGTATTTACAATCGGGATAGCTTTAACCTTACTACTATATAAATGCGAAAGTTCAGATGGATGGATGTGTGTTAATCACGCTAGAACGGCTGAACGGTTTCCGATTGAATTTGACACAGTGATAGATTATAGTCTGGAATAGCACATAGGCTTTTTATCCCGGAAAAATGAACGGTTCACGTGGGATAGATTTGTTTTTTTTTACTAGGGACGAACCCGAATGAAGCGAGGGTGAGTTGCTGGTTATATTCTATTGTACTCAATTTTATTCTTTTTTATAGTGGTGTTTTAAAAATATTGTATATTGATATTTAAAAGGGCAACTGTTAAGTTTCTCGTCGGCTCTTAGCAGAACAGTCTTCCGAGCTGGTGGTAGCTTCCTCACGGATTGATTGCATACTACAAAATAATTTGATATTTCAAAAATGCTTGTAAAATTATAATTGAATATTGTTAATTTACATTCGTTTTTCTTTTCCATTTTCAACACCTTTTTTAGCTTCAATGCTCAAAACACACTTAACGTTTGAAAGTATCGACTTCCTTCTGTCGATTTCAAATTTCGTAAATCTGGATATCCATGTGTTAATTTGATATCGTAGAGGTGATATGATGAAACCACAGATAGGTTAGTAGGACTCTTCAATAGCTTCTAGCAAGACCATGAAGCTTGGGCTCTCTTAATTTGTTTGTCACTTCTTTAATTTTTTAAACCATGCGTAGGTATTATTAATATGATAAATTCTATTTTTAGATGTTTTGGGGTTTAATACTTTGCTTTCATATGAAAAAAATATCTATTCTTTATATGTACATATTATGTAGTGTGGGTAGCTCGTTGGATTAGTGGTTAGAAAGTTATGCTACAAATATACTGGGTTTGAGCCCTTTATTCGACTTTCTGGTGTAGGTTCAATGACCTCACATATATTATTAAAAGTAGCATTATAGTATTAAAAGCAGGGGCAGCAGATAAGTCCTCATTCTCATATGAGACGCCATGTGAGTTTAGTTCATTCAAAATTACTGGTTTTGTCCCGGATATTTTCCTATTTAAAGTGGATTTAGTACTACCAATTTGCTATGTGGATCGATGAATTTGTCAAGCTTGTTACAAAAGCATTTTTTTCTGTATTAGCACTCTCAGTTACTCTCTTATATAAATCATATCAATAGTTAAAGATCAAGTTTTGGTCTGTATGCGACTGAGCTGAATATATGTTTTATTGCAAGATATTTTACGTTTATGTTTTTGGTGTGATAGAATTATCAAAATTCCTCAACTTTCTTAATATTTCATATTGAAAATTTAATAAAATATGAATTAGTTATTTAAAACACAAAACTTTATTTTTTTTAATTACTGATTTACATTAGAAAATATCTCCGTAGCATCATAAGATATTTTATGTCGTATATGTTTGTATGTACCACATTGTATACTAGCAATGTGTGTAAAAACGCAGTGTTTTTTCTGTAAGCGACTTCTAGTGGAGTGATTTTAATTTCTATACAATCTTACCACTATATATATGCGAAAGTTTGGATGGATGTTTGTTACTCAATCAGGATGAAGTGAACGGATCTGGAAGTATCTGGCAGAAAGATACAGTTTTGAATGAAATTGGAAAACATGTTAAAATGCAATCAAAAAAAAATATTTAAGATCAGAATTACTTGAAACTTGGTAAGTATTAATGCTCTTCAATAAAATTAAATAAATACGCATTTTAGTATTTTTCGAAATTCATTCTTAGTTTGGGGTAAAATAGGGGCTGAAAACTATCTTTACGGATTCATGGTGTTATTTTATTATCTTTTTATTATTTTAAAATAAAATTAACAAATTGTAAGGTACTTCAGTGCCATTTGATGAGAATTTTATAGCCTCTTCATAGTGATTAAAGTATTGACAGACAGTCAGACAGTGTTTTAGCAATAGCACTCTGTTTTGATTGTTCGGAAATGGAATCTTAAAAAATAAGCTCCTGTAAGCTAGCAAGTACATTTAAGCATCGAGACTGACGTTATATTATTCCTTGGGTAATACAAAATCGATTCTCAGTAATGTTAATGAAATTAAGTAGTACTCGTAATATGTAATGTAAATTAATATTATGATAAATTAAAATATTAAGAGAGTCAAAAGGTTTTAATATTTTTTTAAATTCCTTTGTATAGTTTACGTAAGTTTTATGTACGTTTGAACTGTTAGTATGGAATAGTAAACTATATATTATACGACATATAGCCTATATATGACATTATAGCCTTCCTCAATGAACGGGCTGTCTAATGCAAAATTTAGAATTTAGAAATTTTCAAATCGGATTAGTAGTTGCTGAGATTAGCGCGTTCAAACAAACAAACTCTGCCTTTTTATAATATTAGTATATAATATACTTTAATTTCAATTTAAATCGAAATCGATATTTTTAGATCTGCCTCTTTAAATAAATCCATATTTAATAGATTTTTTTTGGTACTGCAAAGTTTTGATACTTTTCACTCGACGAATAACCTTTAAAAAATTAACAAAAACTATTATTTTTCGATAACAATTCATCTCCGCATGCACTATCGGCCTTGACTCGGCACGTACTTATGAATAAATTGAAAATATATTAGACTCAATTGCAATGCAAATGGTAGGGGCAAATGCATTTATTTAAACCCTTGCGATGCACAAACTGTGCCAATCGATGGGGACCACTCGTTCTCGCAACTTGTCATCTGGATATTCGATTGACGTATGTATATTAGATATTTAGGTTTTATAGATTCTAGACTGGTTTTAGATACTTATTTTTTGGCAATATGGAATATTCGGTTCATTTTTTATATATTTTTTTATTTGATTGTTATAATGCTTTCTTGTTTTGTGTTTTTTTTTTATAGAAAAAAATCGGAATCGGGTTCGTTCCTCCTTATACGTTTCAACGATTAGTATAGATTTTTCAGAGATGAGATATTTTCCCGCAGTAAAAAGTATCTTATATTGTAGTCGATCCGGATAACCAGCTATGACCATACCAAATTTCATCAAAATCCCTCCAGTGGTTTTCTCGTCGTGAGTTACCGGACAGACAGACAAAAATTCAAAAAATTATAGGTCTGGCCTCTGTATCGATAATAATGACTATTTCAATAAGATTTCCCAAAAAATATTTTATCTACAGATTCTACTCGTTTAGATTTTTTTTATACGTATACGTAACTTTTTTTATGTTTTAGAATCGAAAAAGGACAACTAATAACGTTCAATCCAGAAGCGTTTGTGAGAACAAGGAAAAACATGCAATCGTTCCTAAGAAAAATACTCCAATCTCAAATATTTCAGCAGGTGAGATAGACCTTACGCTATATTTGGTAAAAATAGAACAAGCTCTGTGTAATATATTTATTATTGGGTATATTTTGTAATTTATATTTCATTGTTTGCTTGCTAAGCGAATTTATAATGATTACTTTAAAAAATCTTTATAAGAATATTAGCAAATGGTAAAATTTTCATTATCAATGACATCCCTTAAAAATTGTTTTTGCCATTGCATCAGCGAAAATAATCCTTAAGTAAGAAAAAAATATTTAAATTAACACTTTTAATACAAAATTTTTCGTTTTTTATCTTTATACAAAAATCTTGTCATATTATACGAAACAGCCATATTGTAAAATTGAATATATTTTGGGCACATACATTTTTTGCGATACCAACTAGATATTCTGCTTATATCAGCTTTTATTTGACTAAGTTCTAAGCTTTTGCGAATTCACCACATATTATTTTTATGTGCGCAAAAACCATGAGAACAAACATGTACTTTAGTGCGAATTTTTCAATTTGATCGCGTTAACTTTAAGGAGGATTTGTAGCTTTAAAAATACTCTATATATACTAAAATATATATATATACTAAAATATACTAAAATACGCCCTCTAGTGGCAAAAAGAAGTTATTACTTTTTTTTTGAGAGTCTAAAATCTAAATCATACTCATTTAAATACTGATTTTTTAATAGATAGCTATTATTTTAGAGAGTGATATTTAAAAAAAAAGTTATTATACGAACCATTTTGTATAGGGGGATGAAAGTTCGATGCTATTTGCTGTGTTGGAAGGAAGAACCGATCTAAAAATCAAAAGGACCCATATTTAACATAACTAAATATATATTATGTAAAAATAATATGTTATTTAAAGATAAATCATATTAATAAAAATGCGAAAGCTTTTAAGTATGCTAGTATTTCACGCTGATGGCTTAACGGAATTTAGTGAAGTTCAGAGTGGAGAAGTTTCGCCATAATATTATAAGCTTTTTATTTGCGGCTTACCATCGCTACGTTCGAGTTCGCCTCTAGAAAACAAAATCATATCTATCTCGGGAAGTGTACATTTTTCCGGGATAAAAAGTAGCCTTTGTGCTATTCCAGAGTATAATCTATCTCTGTGCCAAATTTCATCCAGATCCGTTCAGCCGTTCTGGTGTGATTGAGTAACAAACATACGTCCAAACATCTAAACTTTTACATTTATAATATGAGTAAGATAATATCATGCTGGATTATTAAAAAGGCTACTTTAATTCGAGTATCTACAGACTAAATTAATTAAATTAAAATGATAACTTGACATGGCGATTAAGAGATGTAAGGAGTCTGTCCACTATACCGTTTCATACCATGACCGTACTAGGACTGTCAAATAGACCGTTCCGTCACCGGACCGGCATCGTCGTGTACCGTGCACAGAGCGGTTGATACGTTCTAGTGGCTATAGTAGTCTGTAGTAGTCTGTAGTGCTCGTTTCCGTGCCTGATACGTTCATAGCTCTGTCTTGGTATGAGACGATGTAGTAGGCAGACACCTTTAACCTATTCTAAGAAAAAACAACCTCAATCTGCTGCCTTATACAGAAAAATAAATAAACCAAAAAATATAATTTGGATTACTTTTTTGACCTCCCTTTTTGTTTACATTTATGATTACTGCCCCCTTCCTTAGGTAGTATTATGATGATATATTGCCTTATAGCCTTCCTCAATAAACGGGCTATGTTATGCAAAATGATTTTTTAAAATCGTATTAGTAATTCCTGAGATTAACGCGTTCAAACAAACAAACTCTGCCTCTTTATAATATTAGTATAAATAATTTTTCCTCATTCCAGTTTATAGATGAGAGGCTCGATCTCTTGAACTCTGGTCGAGGTTTCAACGATGAGTTCGAAGTAGAATGCAATAACTATGCGGAGAGACTCAATACAGGAAGCGGTCAAAAGCTAAAACAACAGTACAGAGATTGGGCTAAAACTGTCAAAAAAGAAGGTGGTGCCTTCTTTAAGAACGTTAAAGATAAGGTAACTATTCTAATTTGTCGTATATTGTTGGTATTAAGGCAAAATGTTCTAAGTATGTTTTTGACTTCATTTATACTTTATTTATATAATAATCGTGTTTATATTTCTTTGTATATGATTTTTTTAAGGCTTATTGTATATTTATAGGAATTTACTAATTATCCAATTAACCATATTGTATGAAAATAATGTTATTGTGTGATATATAATAATGCTTTAAGATTATTAAAATGATTTTGTTTATCATTATACAAAAGAGTTTTTCTAAGACACTTGTTTTGATTGTTTTTTTTTATATTTTACGTATGTATGTATATAATTTGTTTTTTGCATTTTGTTTTTTGTAGATATTTTTGTTTTATCATCTAAAATGTAGGATTGACTTGAAATATTTTAGGTGCTTTTTATATATTGGTTTTATGTCAATGTATTAACGCTTGCTTGTGTTTGTCTTAAAATTAACAAAGATTGATCGAAATTTCAATAGCTTAAAGTTAAACTAATCAAAGAATGTAGTATCGGCATAACCCAAACGTGAACATATTTATAGCTAATAATATTGGAAGTCTAATGCTCGATTTCACCAACAACCCATAAGCTACCACCTACGTATGGGATCCCTAGCTTAAAAAGTCCCCTAAACTAGCCCCTAAATTAAATGTCGTTTTACTATCGTCTTTAAACCCATATTTCGAGCACCTATATTTAGGAGGCCTTTTAACATTTAGGTGACCCCTAACTGTCGGTGAAACAGAAACTGTCCCCTAACAGCCGCCTAACCATGCTTAGGGGATCCCTTAAACTTAGGTGACATTGGTGATATCGGGCATAAATTGTTTATATGTTTGTGCTTTCAAAAACTGATAGTCCGTTATAAAACCCAGTTGATGTTGGTAGGTCACTGGCTTCATGACATATTGGCGACTTACCGTCGCTTCGCTCAGACTTTGTTCACAATTTCATGCTGCAATTTTTTTTTCTATAATAAAAGTAACCTAAGTTACTCCTTATGACATTGGAGCTCCCGTTAAATCGGTCCAGCCGTTTCGGAGATTAGCACAGTAACAGACAAACAGATAAAAAAATTTAAAAAATATTTTTTCTTATTAGTAGGTACCGTATATATTTTCATATGCATTTAGTAAAAAGCTGTTATTTGGATATTACAAGCAAACACTTTTTTTTGTTTATCTGAGGTTTCAATGATAATATAATACTTTGGTAACATAGAGATATTGATGGAGCCAGAAGGAACCTTTAATGTCTATTCGTGGTCTCAGTGCTTATTTATCCAAACGACCAATAATTTTACCGAAAGAGTTTATAATACAGAATTATCTACGATATTATTACCTATATAGATTCACCACTAAAGGTCATATGAAGTTCCATATGACCTTTAGTGGATAGTAAAAGTCTTAGTTAATTTGAAATAAAATCCAATTATTAAAGCTGATCTTTGACTAGTAAATTTAAATAAAATAAAAAGAAAAAGATTGGTATGTACAATATAAATATATCTTAACACGATATTAAAATATATAGCCTAAAAGGAAAAATAACATACCAAATAATATTCCCGCGTACTGAATATTAAATTATTTTCATATACTATAATTAACGTTCATGTTCACCCTTAGGGGTGAAGTTTTGCCTTGACTTTTAATTAGACTGAGATAAAATAAGAACAGCCCAGTGGTAACGCGCTCGCTTGGGAAAACGAGGGAAGTGGGTTCCATCTGGGGTCTCGCACCTCTGATATTTTCATGCGAATCTTTTCCAACATGTTTACCACTTGTTTTACGGTGAAGTAAAACATCGTGAGGAAATCTGCATGTCTGAGAGAACTTAGCAAGCTTTCGAAAGACATGTGTAGTCGACTGTAGCCTGATCCCTCTCATATTGATTGGATATCCAGCAGTTAGACGTTAAAAAGGTATAAAAATAAGAAGTCTAAAATGAAAAAAGAACAAAGAATCATTGAAACTTGTTCATAATTAGCGAAAATATCACATAACATATAAAACAGTCCCAAATAAAAACGTACTTTTTCGAAATAGGTCATTTATGCATGTAAATGTTATTAGAATATACATATGAATTCTTTTGGCTTAATATTCATAATATGTAAGTTTGATTGTTTATGTATAATTTAAAGGCGGCTACACACGTCTCCACATGCATGTCTATATGGTAACTTAACTGCTTTTATGTTTAATATGTCGTTGGTAAATTGTAAAATTAATGTTTGTTATTTAACCACGCCAAAACGGCTGAACGGATCAGGATGAAATTTGGCACAGAGATAGATTATAGTATGGAATAGCACATAGATAACTTTTTATCCCGGAAAAATGTACGGTTCCCGGTTGGGATAGATTTGTTTGTGTTTTTCTAGAGGTGAGCCGTTATATAAATTTATCATTGAATGTGCTTAGTGAAATTATAATATAACTAACATTGTCCCGTGATATTGTAAGAAAAGGAGACGATTGTCAATACTTTGGGCGATTTGAATTTCACCATTGAAATTGTGATTTGATAGTTTTTACAATTTCCCTGCGACATACTCGTACATATATACAAAATACTTGCACGAAATGTTTATTATGTCAAATATTTAGACATGCAGTTTATGCTCGTCAATCGTGCTTGTACGTGTATAACCGCTTCATACAAGTATTATTCGTGGGCTTTTTTTATTTTTGATTGTTTATATTTTGATTAATAAGTAGGTATAACCTTCGGCAAGATTTGTTTATCGTTGATTTCTCGCCGGCTCTTCTCAGCAGAATTGCCTTCCGAGCCGGTTGTAGCTTCCTCACGGACTGTCTACACTGAAATTTAATTTAAATATAAAATGTAAAATTGACGATTCAAAAGTGCGTGTATAAGAGTATATTTGAAATAAGTATATTTTGATTTTGAACTGCCTCAGTGGTGTAGTGGCTAGCATGTACGGCTGCACACCCGGAGGTCCTGGGTTCGAGTCCCGGGTCGGGCCAAGTTTAGTTATTGCGTCTTTCTGTATAGTAAGTCTCAGTAACAGCCCGGAGTTGGGAAGTTGGAGGTGTTTCACCCCCGTGCCTCGGAGAGTACGTAAAGCCGTTGGTCCTGCGCCGACACTCACCGGTCGTGTCTCGCGTCGTCCCACCGGAGTATGAGAGTGACAGGAATAGAGAGTGCACGTTGTGTCTGCGCGTACACTTGAGCACTATAATATCTCTTGCGCAGTTGGCTAATCTCAATGAAATTGGCCGCCTAGCCGGTATGGGCTAGGAGAACATCATTTTGATTTGTTATTGCTCGTTTTTACTTAATATTTTTTTTATTTATTTAGTCAGGATTATGAAGACAAATGTGGAGTTAAAGGGTATTTTATCTGTTTTCGAAGAAGGATATTCGTATTTATTTCAAATTAATAAGTTGGCAACACTGTTCTGTCAATTTTTGGAAATTTCATAATGTTAAATGTTACTATGTCTATATGCAGTACATACAGACTATAGAGCTATTCATAGGGATAATATTTACCTAAATCTTATCTATACTGTTAATCGGAAAAGGATCTTTCGTGTTTATTTCAAATTAATAAGTTGGCAACATCTGTAATTAAAAAAAAATTATAACAAGACATGTTACCATGTCCATGGTAATATTAAAAAGTTGTTTATTTTGTCAGTTAATAATTATGTCAAGATAAAATAACAGTAAAATTTTTACTTATTAGTTAGTATTAGGCCGCGGTTTCTCGTTATTTCTCGCACCCATATGTATGGCTGATGCACTGACTATATTAAACGTATATATACCGCGAGAATCCTTTTTCTTTCCCAGAAAAAAATTAGCCCATGTCACGGACTCGAATCCTATACTAATGTCACTCGTCTTACAATCCGTTCAGTAGTTACAGATCTTTTAATCAAAAATAAGCTATTATTGATTATTTAGATACTTTAATTTTCTGTTTTTAGTATAAACTAATAAACTATAGACTCACATTCGCATCGCTTGGGTTCGTCCCTATGTTTGTTCCCCATAAAAACTTTCATCCCCATTTATCAACCTCTGAAGGGATGATTTCCGAGATAAAAACTATCCTATGTCCTTCCCAGGGTTTCAAACTATCTTCTTACCAAATTCCATCTAAATCGGTCCAGTACCTTCGAAGCTCATTCGGTACAAACAAACAAACAAGAAAATCTATAATATTAGTATAGACTATATATGTACTGTACATTATAAAACTAAAAGTCGGGATAATTTTTTTTAATAAAACAACGTTTTTTATGTTTTTTTTTTATTTTACATATTGTCTCTACAGCATTACGTACAGATCTCGAGCTTTGCTTAACTAAGTTGCATGCGATGGGTTTAATTTGCTTTAAAATGTGAATATTTGCAGGCGAACCCCGCAGTACAATCGGCTGTTAAATCGGTGAGTTATTCGTATATAATCGATCATTTATATCACTACTTAGTGGAATGTTAGATTATGTTGTTTCGGTTTTTCTAAGGTTTTTTTTTCCTATTACATATACTTATATGATGTTATTTTTATTTTTATGTGATTATTCGAATTTTATAGATAAACAATATTGTTATGTTTATTTGTATATTATAAATATTTTATTGATCTATGCGTTTATGCCATAAAAAGTCATATAATTATTTTAATGAATTATTTTCGTCATTATACTATATTCGCGACTCACCCTGGATTCGTCCCTTTTTCGTTTCGTTACGTTACGTTACGTTTTAACGTTATGTATAGATTTCTCAGTAAAAAGTATCCTATATGTTGACTCGTATAACCAGCTATCATTATACCAAATTTCATCAAAATCTGTACAATGGTTTTCTCGTGAAGATTTTCCAAAATATATTAATTGTGCAGATTCGAGTCAGAATTTTATTATATGTATGTATAGATTTGTGTCCTAGGTGATAATCTTATGAAAACCTTTGTAAATAACAATTTTTAATTAAAGTCATCAAACCTATACCTTTAGTATTTCTGTAGAACGACTATAGCACATGCCATTAAGTCAGTAGATGAAGACGTATCAGCAATCGTACGTCAAGTGAATGAAGAGCCAGCTCTGTCAGATCAGGTCATAGCTTTTAAGGGATGAGGCGTGTTAATATATTTTAAATGTTTTATTTGTATGTAATTACGATAGTATTTTATAGAATTGTAAATATTTAGATATGATTTTGTGTCAACTCTCATATACGAATAGCTGTACTCGGAAAGTAGACGCGATGACGTTCTATTATCGTTTAAAAAATACATCAGAATGATATATGTATGTATGTGTTATTTCAAGACAATTGTGAACGTTATTATTTTATATTAATTACATACTAGCGACTTAGGGACGATTCTGCTCATAAGTTTTATCTAATCTTGTTTTTTTTTCTAAAATAAAATTAGTCTAAGTAAGTAGTAAGATACTCTTTAATAACATCAGCAATCTGAAAGTGAAAGTTCCGTCAAAATCAGTCCAGCCGTTTCGGAAATTAGCCGGAACAAATAGAAAGATAGACAAAAGTTATAAAAATTGAGTTTTTCTTATCAGTACCGTATATAATATCATATGCCTTAAGTTAAAAGCTGTTATTTTAACATTACAAAGAGACACTTCAATTTTATTTATCGATATATATTATATTCATTCGCGATTGTAGATTGTCATTTGTTTACAAACGTTATCTAAAATCTAGATGTCTTTATTTAATACCGATACCTGCAAAGAAAAACATTGTAACTCAGTATTTAGATATATAATTGAAATATAGAAATAAATCTCTCATACATTTCAAGTACAAATTCAAATTATTGAGCTACAACATTGTTCCTTGGAGGTGTCGAAAGATATCAAAGGTACATACATATATAAGTACAGTGTCTCTACAGACACATAGAACGCTTCATACAACCACGTAAGAATAGGTCGGCTTCTCCATAACGTGTAGATACACAATCCCATGCAAAAGTTCTCTTAAAACTGTCACCGATTGTGTTTAGGTAATTATTCTAGTTGAAATACGTTAATGTAAATTGAACCTTAAATGCAATGCTTAAAGTTGTTTTCATAAAAAAATATTAACAGCGCGCTCAAATGTTCAGATTAGCGTTCATTCGGTTAGGGCATTTTTTCTCGCTGATTGTGTATCTAACTGTAACTTTTTGATCGATACTGTGCGTGTCAACTCACCATATAAGTACGTGCTGCCAGTAGTTGACAAAACCGGTTTTTTCCGGTTCAATCTGTTGACAATCTCAGGCTGAGTGTACCGAAAGGAAACGCGCATACCGCCTTTTATAGTATTATATTCACTGTACGGCCGTATGGAGCTTTGTCTCTAGGGATACTTATATGTCTATACTGTAGTATATGTATATTTTTGTATGTCTGTATTTATGTATGTATAATACATTACATAGTAATATTAATATGTTTTTTTTATATAAAATACTGTAATTGCCTTATTTTATTTATACATTTTTTGCCTATTAGTGTGATGCAGTTTGTAGATTTTTGGAGATTTGATTCCACAAAGTAGTGAATATTATCGAATATTATCAAAATTTTCTTCAATATTTCTGCACAGGGTTTCTTTACTCCTGTATTTATTGCATGCGGTTTTTTTGTGTTTGTTTATAAAATTCAGTTGTATATTTTTGTTTGTTTTTTTTATATGGCACTGATTGTTTTCAGTCAAATTACTTTGCAATTATTATTTCTTACAGACTTAAAGGTAAGCTTAAGGGTAAATCGCTCTTTATTTAATTAAATTTTATATATAAAATTTCTATTTATAAATATAATAAAGAATAAAAAATTTTTTATGCACAACTACATTTTTAAGTTGAGAAGCAAATTAATTTTCAATTTATTTGGTTCTCATTTTTTTTTATTTTTGACCCATTTTTTTAAACTTGCCAAGTGTTAAATAAGCATCTTTGTGCATTTGTTGTTTAAAAAAAATTGCTAATAACCTTAAAGAGGTAAAATTTTTCTTGCTTGCAAGAACTCGTCATAATAGGAAATGTAACATACAAGTATAAATGTTATCTTTATCCCGCTTCACACCATTCTGTTCTTGCCCTTATTAAAATGAGCTTTCTATATATTAAAAATAAAAGTACAATTTAAGCTTTTTCTGAATGAAAAAAATTATCGCCATTCAATCAATAATCGTCATTATATTTTATCATATTTTTTTAAATGTTTTTACAAAGGTTTGCTTATGTATTGTAACATGATATAAATAATGTATAAATTATAACAAAATTATACAACTGGTTAAAAGGTTTGCATGTAATTTGTTGTGTCTAATATTTTCTTGTCTTTGGGTTGCACAACTTTATTTATTGCGCGTTTCTTACTAAAGGTAATACCTTAAAATATAAGGTATTATTAATAAACTAGCGACTTACGTACGTAAGTACGTTTTAATTTTTTTGAGCGGAACCCTAATTCTTTTTCTAAAATAAAAGTAGCCTAAGTTACTCCTTATGACATCAGCTATCTGCCAGTGAAAGTACCATCAAAATCGGTCCAGTCGTTTCGGTAATTAGCCGTAACAAACAGACAGACCTAAAAATTTAAAAACTGTGTTTTTCTTGTAAGTATCGTATATAATTCCATATATATTTAGTAAAAAGCTGTTATTTTGATATTACAAATAGACAATTCAATTTTATTTATCTGTATAGATAATTTTCACCATTTGAACATTTTTAGAATTATTATGAGTTGTATTGTAGTAACAATAAATCCTATACACTAACAGCAACCCCAGATTGCCTTGTTTTGTGGGCCAGTAAATAAAAACAACTGTACATACATACATCTAAAGCGTACATACAACCAAACAAATTCCTATATGTTCTATATGGCTCTTCTCTACGAAAATTTATAATTGATTTTGTATGCTATATGATAAAAAAATAAGACAATATTTTATATAGAGCGCAAATATTTTTAACCTGAAAAAATCCTCTGAAAAATCGTTCTGAAGATAGATATTGGTTAACAAACTTTAATAAAGTGTCACGTCTTGGTCGCAATATTCATTACTGCGCAATCATTAGTGGTGTACTTCATGGTATACTTTTCACCAATGATGTCACTTCCATATATTAGTAATAAGTGCCTATTTTTACGTCTTCAGGTCCACTCGAGTAATAATAACGAGCGTAAAAATAATTTATATATTATAAACTTTACTTAAATTTCGAGTCATTACAGTGTAAAGAAAGAACTAACAAACACACAAATTTTTTCATGAATTTTGGGACATCCTATATAATATAGTACTAGCGACTCACCGTCGCTCTGCTCGGGTTCGTCCCTATCTACGTTTTAACCGTCAGTATAGATTTCTCAGATATGAGATATTTTCCCGCAGTAAAATGTATCCTATACGTTGACTTGGGTAATCAGCTATCGTCATACCAAATTTCATCAAAATCTGTCCAGTGGTTTTCTCGTGATGCATTCCCAGACAGACAAAAAATCTGAAAAGAGTCGGCCTCTGTATCGATAATAATGACTATTTCAATATGGATTTTCTTAAAAAATATTTAATATACACAGATTCGACTCAGTTAGAATTTTATTACATGTATAGGTAATAATTGTGATAAGTATGATAACTCCTTATATAACTTCATATATATTATATACTATAAATGTATGTACAAATAATAGCTATAGTGCTAAAACTGAATTTCGCATGTAAATATGTACCTGCTATAAATATTTAGCTAATATTTTTATTATCACTTTCAAAGGTCCGACAAGGAGGAAAAAATATGAAGTCGGCTGTGAAAGGGCTTAAGAACAAAATGCCTAAAACTGGCTCGAGGCCTTCCTCGATAAACACTACGGATGACAGCAGGTAAGAAATTTAAAATAGATTATTATTAAATAAAGATTTTAGATTTTTAGGTATGTACATTTTTTGCGTTGGAATTTATACTTCTTTAGTCTTTTGTATAGATAGGGAGTTGTAAGGAGTGATTTACTTTTTTTTTTCTGAGTAGCTGCGTAACTAAAGCTGTATTTTTACCTTCAATTATTTTTTTTTAATTTAAATCTCGTTTTTTTTATTTTCAAATAGCAAACATGAAGAAGTATAAGTTCTAAATATAAGGTCTGAATATAAAAAAAAAATGTTGGCTAAATATTCTCTAAAAGTTAAGAAAAAAATAGTACGTGTAACCTTTACGCTCGGTTGAAGTTAAACTTCTTTGGCGTTGTGGCTGTTACCGCGATTAAAACAAATCAAAGTAATTAATATTCATTTTTATAAATAATAATTATTATATATATATATATATATATATATATATATATATATATATATATATATTTAATTATTAATAATAAATTTTACTCTCACTTCAGCGACACTCATTTTTCCAATGTATTGGAGTTACTCGTAAGTCACGCCTAAAGAAGTTTTACTTCAGTTATTTAGAATACAGTGTGATTAATATAATACTGTTTGTGATTAAGATATATCTTAGAATTCTTCGATAGTAGAATTTTCCTTTATATCGTATAGTTATTTTGTGATTTCGATTTCTAAAATTTTGTTAATTTTTAAAATATTAACATAACTTTGTATCTATATTAGAATATCTATATATATAAAAGAAAGTCGTGTTAGTTACTTCGCTTATAACTCAAGAACGGCTGAACCGATTTAGCTGAAAATTGGCAGGGAGGTAGTTTAGAGCCAGGAGAAGGACATAGGATACTTTTTATCCCGTTCGACCGCGTTCCAATTTTTATGATATTTTAATTTTTGGATTTCTCTTAGTCCGGAATAGGTAAGTATTAAAACATATAATTAAAATGTGAGAAAGAAAGATTTTTTCTTTTTATATCTATTTAAAACGTACCTAGCGACGAACCCGAGCGAAGCGAGGGTGAGCCGCTAGTTTAACTATGTTTCTAACATTCTGTACTGTGTATTAATTTTAAGTAGGATATGTAATAATAATATTTTAAAAATATTGTTTTTTATGAAGCTAATTAATGCTTATTTTTGGTATGTGGAAGGGGATATCTGGGAGAGTTGGTATCTTATAAAACATAGACAATTTTGTATCTAAATTAAGTATTAAGTCTGTTTTAATCTATTTAAGTTTTCATAGCAGCCTGAGACTGTGAGTAAATGAAAGTGACCTTAACATTTTTAGACATTTATTACATCGCTGTACGTTCTTCAAATGAAATAGAATAGGTAGTACATATATACTCATTCTTCATTGCTATTCCATTATGTAGTTATTATTCACAATCAAACATACGATTTGAAATGGCTGAAGCTAAATCCTTCAATGTTTAAAGCTAGCATAGCTTTATGTATCTTATTTTTTTTTTGTTTTAAAACCTGAATTGAAATATTGACTCAACAAAATAGGAGTGTCCGAACAAAACCAATATTTTTGTTGTATTAGTAATAAGATTATTTATTTCCTTTTTCTTTGTCAATAACATTTTAAATTAAAACACTAATTTTGTTCTGAAACTCTAGAATTGGCATTATTGCAATCATTTTCATGATACAGCTGATTCACATACAACATGGAATCGATCCAAACGTACACACAAGTAACATAGGAAAAATTCAACAGGTTCTCATGTGGCTCAGCTACCCCGGTCTCCTCTGACTCGTCGGATTCCCGCGACCCTCCCCCCGAACCTCCCGTGCTCCCCCTAGATCTTCTAACCGAAATGGAGTTCCTATTCAACAAACGTGACAGCCTTCCAAGCACACACAACTCAATCAGTCTGCCAGATAAAGCTGTGAGTATTTAGTCTGTATACACTTTTGGGGAAACGGAGTTGTTTTTGTTTTTTTATATAGCGTGCTTTTTTTGAGTGATAATAATGTAAGTGACTAATTCTCTTCAATATCATACTCATAACAATTTTGTCGCTAAACGCGTGATATCTAGGCTTATTTATTATTATATTTTTTATTGACAATACGCACTACTCTATCCATATACGTGGTTTTATTAAAAGCCAATGGAAATTAAACGAAGTGTTTAATAGTTTTTGTAGCGCATCATTTTAATTTTTATATTTTTACATACTAGGTAGTAAAGTCTTGTATTTTCAATAACGTCAATAATGAGAAATAGTATAACTTGCTTAATTGTATATTATTACTTATTTTGACGAACAGTTGTAAAATAGACACGTTAAATACTCCGTTTCTTCAAAGCTAATAACTTTTTTACGCTGAATGCTCGTCTCGTACGCGCTTGCTAAAATTTATATTCGATACATAGTTTAGTTTGGGCCAGATCTGTATTCATAAATGTTACTTAACTCACATTATGACATTTTAAATATCTAACTTTTACATCAAATCTGTAATATTTTTTTTAATTTTCTACTCAAATTTTATGTACACCTCTCAAATAACTCAGTAACCACTAGTTAGTAATCATTTGTTTGTTTAAGGGACGTTTGTAAATACGGACGCTAGTGTAAATATCACGTAGTTTGTAGCGTCAAATTCATTATTCATTTGTATTGTATTGAACTATTGAAATATGATTTATACATAAAATGCCTTTTATAAATTTATAAAGGGTATTATATGTTCCATTAGCATCGCTTTGTGTTACGCTTATATATATTTAGGTGCACCGTGGCACATTATACAATTTTATTTTACAGAAAACACTGTCACCATGTCCCCCACCCAAATTACCCGAACGTCCCGCCCGTTACCCAATAGTTTGTACGAGGAAATTAATTGATCTCTCCGATGCTCCCCTACCTCCCCCGAGAACGATACAACCACCACCAACAAACTTTACAAGTAACATCACCAAGGACTCGAACGTCCCAATCGACTTCCATACGAGCGTTATACGATTCGCCGATAACGATAAGGCAAAATTAAAATTGACACTGTCGTCGAACCAAAGGAAATCAAACCAAAACCAATCCTGTAACGGCTCAACCAACAGGCCTAAGGTTCCAGAACGACCTAGACAAATCTACAAAGCCAGAAACCAAGAGGTAATTCTCATATGTGTTACTATTGTTGTTGCGATGTTATATCTTTACATCAGAGACATATATATACATTGATTGGAACTAACTTAATCTGTTATCTTTGTATTATTATTATTATTTTATTTTTTTTATTTAATTTATTATCTAACATTCGCAATGCCCCTATTTCATTTGGGTGTAACCTCCCCTATATATACAGGGTGTTATAATGGTATTATAATAGAAAATTTAAAAAAAAATATGGAAGACTGTGTCAGTGTTTTATAGAAAGGTAACTTATGTAATTTGATTTTATTTAATTATAGCGAATGCATTATTCCATTATAATAATATTATTTATATCTCGCTTTTAATACTTGGAATGTTTTGCAATGATCTGTTATATGTTATTGTATTGTCTATGAATATTCTCACTGGTCGGTTTATTTATTTCTTTTTAAATAAAAAAAATAATAAAAGTCGTACTGCATAGAATAAAGTTGTAAAATATCTTCAAAACTGAATACTTAATGTAGAAAATTTAAAAAATGACGAATTTTACTAGTCCTTCTTCAGAAATACTTAAATAGAAATATAGTGTTTTTTAGGGTAGGATTTTTTTTATTTATTTGATTTATTTTTTTAGCGTAGGATTTTTGACTCAATTTAAAATATGTTTAGTCGGACATGATATTATTAATCCCAATTTAGCGAATATAATTTCTTATATATTGCTATACTTTGTTACTTTCATATTAATTTATACTGTTTGAAAACGTACATTCGATACAAAAAAAAAATTTTTTTGCAGTTTTTTTTTTGAGATTTATGGTATAAAAACCATTTATACATTTTCTGTTGACACAACGACCGGAACTATAAATGATTGAATGCGTAATACGTTTATAGTTATTCAATTTGGTTTTCCATTTTCATGTAAACTAATATTGAAAAAAAAAGGAAAATATAATAATTTTAAAAGCAAAATTATTTAAAACTAGCGGCTCACTTCGCTCGGGTTCGCCTCTAGAAAACCAAAAAGAAATCCCTCGGGGACCGTATATTTTTCCGGGATAAAAAGTAGCCTATGCTTTTTCCAGACCATAGTCTATCTCATCAGACACGTTCAACCGTTATGGCGTGAAAAAGTAACAAACATCCATACATACTGACAAACTTTCACATTTATAATATTTATATACAGATTATGTTGTTCAAAATATAATATTTTCAATTGAATATAGAACAATTATAAACATAAAAATGTTCAAACAAATTTTCGTCCCTAAATATAAATAAAGTAATTAATGACTATATCATATGTTATGTGTAAATAATAATCAAATAAATAGCAAATATAACAAAATAAACTAATTGGACGAGCTCAATTAGTATGAAATGGATACATATCATTCATGGAATCATTAAATATATAATCTATACATATAATAAAATTGTAACTAAGCCGAATCTGTACATTAAATATTTTTTGGAAAATCTCATTGAAATAAACATTATTATCGAGACTGAATCTATAATTTTTAGAATTTTTGTCTGTCCGTCTGGGAACGCATCACGAGAAAGCCACCGGATAGATTGTGATGAAGTTTAGTGTGATGAAAGCTTGTTATCCGGGTCAACATTTAGGTCTACTAGGACTTTTTACTGCGGGAAAATATCTCATCTCTAAGAAATCTATGCTAACCGATAAAATCGACTCAGATTTTTTTAATATCTATAGATTGTGTTTTTTATAGGTTATAATCATACTCATATAAAGTATTTTAACCTTGATGTAAAATAATTATATCTAAATGGCTTTATATAATTATCGTGTTTAAAACAAAAATAATTATTGTATATAATTATTTTAATAGTAACTAGACTGTCTTAGTGTTCACTCAGTCTAAATGAATATAGATCCTTAGGCATAGTTCAGGGGTTTGATTCCGGGCGGTGTTAATATCTGCTACCTGTACGGTTTTGATCTCGGCCTAGTTATGACCTGGGAACAAAGTGACTTAATTATTAAATATTTTTACTTTTTAACAGCAACTGAATGTTGATATGATATTTACATTTGTTAATTCATAAAGTTAGGTATCTTAATTCTTTATACCGTGACTCTAAATTCTTTTTTAACAAAACATCGCCCGAGCGCAGTCTTACGACATTACGAACAAATAAGGCTTAAAAATTTTACTTAATTTTTCATATAATTAGTATAGTAAAATTCATATAATCGTGTTTTATGTTATAATTCATTTATTTTTATAATATGTATGTTTGGTGTAGTAACGATATATTAATAAAAATTATTAAATACATAGATTTAACACATAAAACATACATACAGACGGACATAGAGCTTCCTCTGTTTTAGGAATCGGTTAAAAAATATGTTAATTCAGACTAAAACAATTCACTTTTGTCTAAACGAATAATATTATGTTATCAAAATTTATATCGCAAAAGGTCTCCGGTGACAACTTAAAAGCATATTTCGGAGTTTCACAGCTTAAGCAGGTGCCACGCTATTTATATAGGTTCTAAAAGATAAGTGCCGTCAGGACTCCGGTTGACTAGAGATTAGGATGTTTATTTTGAACTAGTAACTTACCCACGCTTCGCTTGAGTACGCGGATTTTGTTTTATTCACAATTTCATGGTTTTTTACTTTTTTGCGCGGAACCCTGATGCTTTTTTAAAAATAAAAGTAGCTTAAGTTACTCTTTATAATATCAGCTATCTGCCAGTGAAAGTACCGTCAAAATCGGTCCAGCCGTTTCGGAGTTTAGCTGAAACATACTGACAGATAAAAAATTTAAAAATTGTTTTTTATTTTAGTATCGTTTATACTATATATATATATATATATATATATATATATATATATCTTTATATATATAATTCTTCTGTGAGTGTGTATGTCACTGAACTTCTCTCAAACGACTGGACCGATTTTGATGAATTTTTTTGTGTGTGTTCAAGGGGATCTGGGAATGGTTTAGATTCACAATTTGAATAATAATTTTCATCAAAAAATTATTAAAAAAAGTTTGAAATTTTCAAATTAAAGACGTGTAGACAGGACAACGTCTGTCGGGTCCGCTAGTATATATATATATTATTACATTACAAACAGACACTTAAATTTTATTTGTCTGTATAGATTACGGTTCATTTACCCGTTTATTTTAATGATTTCATAAAATTGCTAAATTTTGCTTTTTATTCCGTCTTTGCATAGTTACAAAATGTTTATTGTTGTAGCGTGACAATATGAAATATTTTGTACTAATGTTTGGTTTAGACGAACAAAAACTATGTATTGCCATTCTCATTTATCTCTTTAAGTTATATTTGCGAATTGGTTGAATATCAACCAATTACTGTAATAGGATAATTTTGTTAATATAATTGAAATGCTTACGAGATTTTAGTTTAGTATACACTATTAGCGACTCATCCTCGCTTCGCTCGGGTTCAAAAATGGGAGCTTGGGGATAGGAGGGTAAAAAATACTTTACGACCTATTCTAATACCTATCAAATATACAAAAAAAAAATGGTCGGCTCGACGGTTTCGGAGGAATGCCGCTACAAACACCGTGACACGATATATATATATATATATAATGCAGTACGACATATACATAATTATGTATGTAAATTTAAATGTTGTTTCAAACATAGCTAGTGAGAATATTTCTAAATTCATTACGTGAATGTGGTATTTGTATATACTCGTATTCTCTTTGCACATCTTGTTTCTTAATGCATGTACGCACTTAGTGTAATGTTATAGTTAATTTAAGGCAGATCGTCCACAAAATGTATAGCGATAATATTGAAAATTTTAACATTTATTTATTATATAGGTACTACTTATATATTGAAAATTTTGACATTTATTTATTACATACTAAATAATTATATAGATTGAGTCCGCCAAAAAATTGTCAAAGTCAAAATTAGTTGCGTGGTTTTGCTATTTATACTAGTATTCTAGATTTTGCCATTCGTTTATTTTTTTCATTATGGCAAATTTTATATAGATATTAGTCATTAATTTACAAATTTTGCTCATTAATGTATAAAAATAATATATACTTAAGTATTTTCTAAGCATTAGAGCTCTCTTTTCCTTGAGATAGCATAATGTTTAATGAAAGAATATTAGCTTTTTTTTTATTTTAATAAATCCGAAAGCTAATTTATTTAATAAAATTTATTTACTCATCACATTTGTAGTATTGAATATTCTATTAATATTTATATTCGATTTTAATGAATTATTGTTTGATTTCATGTTTATTTCTATGAGACTCTGTCTATATTATTCTTTAGTCTGTTTTTCTTAAATAAACGTATTTATTTTTAACTCCTTAAGCTATTGCTGTCTATTGGATTGGATGCGTTAAATAATTTTAGAGTATTAAATGCATTTTCAAAACAATTTTATACAACTCATTGCGTTTATAAATATTTAATGGATGCATAAAATTTGCTTAGTTTCTATATAAAAAAATTAAATCTCAATAATAAATAAAATAAAATATAATAAAATAATAATAAATATGTTGCGTCATTTCTATTTATTTACTTTATTAATTAATTTCTATATACTTACTTTATATATTGTTTGAATCGAAATGACTCTATCACTATATTTTGTGGACGATCAGCCTAAAATCGTCGAGTTCAAACACCGACTAGGACAAAGGTAAAGGTTACAAACGAACGACTTTTGACATTAACTGTCCTTTATTATTTAATCTTGGTCTTTACATATTTGAACTAGCAGTCTGCCACGGCTTCGCCCGGCTGCTTTATTAACGACATCCTGTTGAATAATCTAGCCCCGTTCACCCCTTTAGGGGGTGAATTTTTGAAATACCTTTCTAAGTTTATTTAGGTCGTTATAGGATTGTTCTGTCAAAATTTCAGTATTTTAGGTCCAGTGGTTTGGCCTGGACGATGATAACAGACATGACGACCAACTTTATTTTATTATATTAAAATATATATGTTAACAGCCCCGAAGCCGAGCTCACATTGGTGGCAATAGATAGCCTTTTATTTATATCCTGCATAATACTGCGCATACTAATAGACTATGAGTCGGTTTTTTTTTGCTTTATTATATCTGTTAGTTTAATACAGTGTTATTCATTGTTAAATTTTTTGTACTTAATTTATATTTGAATAAATAATTAGTAAACCAATAACATTTTAATTTTTTTTTCTTATCCACTAACTGATTTGCTCCTAATTCTGCAACGTTCTCAGTGAGTACCGTCAGGTTAAATCTAAGGATGCGTTCAAATCTTTTGTTTTTTTTTATTTGACAGACTATACATAATTATATTTAAAAAAAAACGTCTATGTTACATTATGGTAAATTGATTAATTTTTCGGCCAGTTTGACTCACACAAAAAATTTTTTTTTCTAATTTTGTTGTTTTGTTATTGTTCAGTGTGTGTGTTCATAAATATCATCAATATTTCCAACTTTGTGACAGTGTGTGAATCTTATATCTGCTCGTAATCTTAATGTCCCTGCTTGAATTCCCAATTCATTGTTGGATATAGTTCAGAAATCAATGAGCGTCAAGTGTCAAAGTTCAATTACTCGTCAAGAATGGTAGAAGCTTTTACATTAATAAAATTTACAGGGAGTTAATTAAAAGATGCTTTATGGCATTACCTAACAGAGGCCTAACCGCTTAATTTAAAACGGGCTTAATTAGATACGAAATGCTTCACTTGGAATATGTTCAACTAAAATTACGTAACACATTCAAAAGAAATTACGTGAGATGTCGAAGAAGTAAATTTTAAATAAACAGTTAAAAGTTATATATATTTTGGTTCCTTATTATTAAAGAAATATGCTAAGTTTTGTAGCAGCTTTTTACGGAACACTAATAGTGCGAAAAGAATTCGCACTTGAACGTTTTTTTTCAGACACTGTTGAAATTTTTTACTCGGGAAATAAGAAATGGAGAGAGTCTTTACTTTTGAGAGTCTTTTCTTTTTTTCGTTAAACGCCCTCCGCTGTTTTATAATTTGTGGTAAGTTTTTTAGTCATTTTATAAAATTCCAACGTTTGTTTTTTTCTATTACGATATATATATATATATATATATATATATATATATATATATATATATATTGTTTTTATTATTTCATCATTTAATTAGATACTAAAACAATTTTCTTCTATAGTAAAATGAGCGACCGACGCGTATGTATGTTATACGGATACTATGAGAAAGTTGCATTATTAGGACGGCGTCACATTTGCGATATTAAAATAGGCATCTTTTTTTCAGTCCTCCGAATCTGATCTCATTCAACTGGACGACTCGCCGACAGCCCTAGAAGTGTTCGATCCTCTCAAATATCGCGATAAAAATGAGAAGGAAAAAATTAAAACTTCCACGGACAGTGCTTTATTGCACGAATACGGTTTAGATTTTAGCCAGTTCGGTCTATCTGATTTTACAGCTGGGTCTAGCGCTCAAGAAACTTCCGCTGTTCCTAAAGGATGGACCACATTCAACTGAAACTTGAACATTTCTCTGGTTATGTCAAAATGTCGCCTTTTCTGACGAGAGTATATGTTTTCTGTGTCTTTTCTCTTATAACATTAACATCTGTCTTTTTCATTCATCACTCCTTCATCTAAATAAAACTATTGTGCGTTTTTTTAGTCTCTTTAAGAAGAATTATCGCAATTATCGCATTCGCATTCCAATTACTTAACTATATCATAATAATTTTGTTTGCAATCAAAGTTATTAAGTTGTATAAACTATGGACCCAATAATGGTCTCATATCGGAATCACTAAACGATATGAATTGTAAATGTTTAATATAAAGCTCTCTATGAAATTGTTCATTGAACAAAAAGAATAAGCATGATGGTATCTCGAAACAATATGTACGTAGAAGGGAATAGAGCTGCTTATTAACATTTAGCTTTCTATTCAAATAGCGCATGTATATAAAATAATAATTATTAGCGAGATAAAAAAACGCACAACTGTGAACGCCACCCAAGGTTTTATAAATAGCCGAAAATTAACTTGAACCTTTGAAATTTGAAACTATCGAAGCGCGATCGGGCTGTGAATGTCGATACTAAATTCGAGCATACGTTAGATTTTCTCTTTCGGCTCGCATTTAACGAAACGATTACAAGCAATAACATAAAATTACATATTTTATGTATATTTGTAATTTTTTATTTTCAGTCCAAAGAGAAAATCTAATTGTATTACGTTTTATATGTATGTATTTACGATACGTTGCTTTAGAACTAGAATTACCTTATTTATTTGCGATTTAGATTTTTTTATTGTATTGTAAATAATGTTACATATCAAAAAATTGTATATTTCGTCATATTTTATAGTAAAATATATTTGTATATTGGTAATATTGTTTATAATAAGTTTGTACAGTGCGATACACTCTAATGGCGATGTTTATGTTACTACGCGTTACCTGTGAGAAACATCTATCGATAATTAAATAGACATTTGAAGAAATAACCGGTTTTGTCATTTTGACAGTTAAAATCACCCGCGTGCAAGATTTTTCGGGAAAAGCACCACAATGTTACAATGTAATTTATACCGTATTGCTAACTTCATACAGTTCAAAATCATTCAGTTTAAAATTTAAGACCGGTACCGCTATTTTGATCTTTATTTAGTTAGCAATTAAGTGCTTATTCGATTGTAATAAGAGCATGCACGTAATAAAATCGAGCATCAAGAAGTGATGGCTTTAAAATGTAAGTGCCAATCTCGGAACTAATATGACTTTAGTTCTACCGTAAAGAAAACATATTATGTATGTTCGTCTGTACAGCTTTTTTTTATTAAAAAATTGCTTTGTATACCATTATTGTGTATTTCGTTGTACGGAAAACTAACCAATTTATAAATGGTTATGTTGTGCTACAGGTTCTTCCGATTTGTTATTTTTTGTCATCGATCAGAAAAGTACTAGCTAGAAACACAATCAGCGACAAAAAATGTCCTCATCGAATGAGCGCTCATTTGAACATTTGAGCGCGCTTTTTTTTGTGAAAACAACTTTAAGTATTGCATTTAAAATCAATTAACATTGTTGTATATTTATTCCAGCTTTACGAGAACTTTTGCATGTGATTGTGTATCTAGTTTTTTTTTGATCGATATTTTTTGTTGATGTTTTTTTTATATCAATTTGTTTTTTGTCAAATCTCGAATGTACATCGGTTATGCTTTAAATTTGGACCCGTCGTGTACAAAATACTTTACTTAGCTACTTGAAATTCTAAAATATAGCTTTTAGCTTTAGAGACTGAAAGAAAAGAGTTTTTATATTTAAAATGTATATGAAATTATTCTAAAATAGTAATTAAAGTAAATATTAAATTACTAAGAGTATCTAGACAGCCATTTTTTTATTTTTTTTTATCTGGTAATAAAATATATGTGCATAAGTGAATAGGATATTTATATTTTTTCACAATAATTGCATAAAGGCAGCTACACACGTAAGTGCATGCTTGACAAATGTGGTGAGGACTTAAAAAATATAATAAATTACAGCATTTCTTATACTTAGAAAACACCATGCATTTTCTAATGCATTTTACTTTATATATTTATTTGACGACATGTTTGGCTCAGTTTGTAGTGACTCTACTTGCTGCGCCAGTGGTCGCGAGTTAGAGTCCCGCTGGGGGCATTCGTTTGTGTGATGAGCACGAATGTTTGTACTCCAGTCATGAGTGTTTATATTTATAATATGTATGTATTTAAAGTTATATATGTATAATGTATCAACTATCTGGTATCCATAGCACAAGCCTCGTAGCTTACCATGGAACTAGATGGCGTTGTGTGTTAATGTCCTGACATATTTATTTATAGCTTCCTCTATACTTTACGAATTTTACATTTCAACCAATCATAAAGCATAACCGAGAAAAAGATTGTTTTCAGTCAAAATAATAATATTAAAGTACAATTAGTTGTTTTAGATATAAATATTTGTGTATAACTTATGAAATATAAACTCTATTTTTGTAAGGTGCTGTATCGAAATCGATATGATTTCTGGTACGTATTTGAGATTGCAACGACTGTTATTTTGTGAGCAATGGGGTATTTGGGTTTTTAAATCACATAAAAAAAAGATTTTTTATTATATTCTTATGTTTATTATAATTAAATAATCATACATAGATACCAACATGTTCTGACATAACTTAAATTTTCAAACCTAAACAATCTTTCTAACATTCCACTCTCAGGAATACTGAACATAAAATCTTTTTAGAAAAGTTACTGTGTAGTAGAAAAAAAAACAATTTGTACTTTTCACATGAAAACTTGTCTTCGAGAGCTCTTTTATATACATATATTAGAAATTAGTGTGGTAGCAATAATTTTTTAGAACATCTGAATATTATTACTATTTGTACTAACATATATTTTTTAATAATATTTAATGTATATATTAGGCCAGTGGTGACGTACTTGCTTATGAAACGAAGGGAAGCGGGTTCAAATCTCGGGTCTCGCTCCTCTAATATTTATGTTCGAATCACGGCTTTGTGCGAATTGTTGCCTTACGGCGAAGGGACACATCGTGAGGAAACCTACACGTCTGAGAGAACCTAGCAAGTTTTCGGAAGGCATGTGAAGTCCGCCAACCCGCACTTGGCCAGCGTTGTGGACTATGGGAGTGTCCAGCAGTGGAATTTTAAAAAAAGGACTGAAAACAAAAACAACAATAAAGTAAGTTTAAAAATCAATTTATTTAAATTTGTATATGTATATACAGAATTTTACTGTATGGGTAATATATAGTTCGATTTTAACATTTAATTACGGATATGACGGCCAAATAAATTGAGCTCTCGATTTCAAATGATCTTATATAAAGCGCGTGTCATGCTTACTGGTCATAAACTAATAAGACCGCGTTATAAACATTCATAATATTATTATTTTCAATAAATTAGCTTTAAATGAATACCCCATTGCGACATACTGTGTTGTATTATTGTAAGGCATTGTTATATTTCTTTTATATACGATCGATTTGTTTTCATCAAATATTTTTTATATAATTATGTAATACAAGAGAGTTATATAATACGAGATATACATTTTAAATTCAGTTTTAATTATATAATATAAAAAAATGGCCTCGTTTTAACGATTTTGTATACATTATTTTAAGTTGCATTATACCAATCGGTGATTGGGTGTGAAGCTTTAAAAAACGCGGGTCTTAGAAGTGATATGGTAAAAAGCGAATGATTGAATATTTTTTTTGTTTTATGTTATATAAAACAATTTTCAATGATATCCGTTTTCGTCTTTTTTTTTTTAAAAAAAAAAGATTATTTCCTTCTGAAAAAAAAACAAAATTTCCTGAGAATTATCGATTCGTTTGTGTAAAACAGAAAAGTGTACACTAAAACTTAGGTTTTGATTTGCAAACACCAATTGTATTTAGGCACAATTGACGTAAGTTCCATATACTATGCCTATGTATAAAAAAATTACGTTCTTACTTCAAAAATACCTCGCGAGACTTCAGTAATTTTTCAATAAGCTAATACCCCATGGGATCCTTTGGATTTGATGTACCTACTAAGATTAATTTAAAAGGCAATTTGTTTGAAACTTTAACAACCCATTCTCTTGTTTATAATGTATTATGTAGGTATAATCTATTGCCTATTTTACTGTTAAATGTTCGATATTAGCAAAGAACAAGATTGCAACTCGGTTTTGTGATAATTTAAACATTAAAATTAAATTTTTCCTTTCAAATTGTTACAATACTGAGTTGTAACGTTTTTCCTTGCAGGTATCGATTTCTATGTATGCAAAATTGTATCGCCGGTCAGAATTGGCTTGCCGTAAAGATTTTTAAATAATTTGGTGTTATCTAAATGTTAGCAATCGGTGTTAATATACAATAATTTCTAACAATACTCGGTGTATTTTAAAATAAGCACATTAGTCGATTTTTTTTTAAATTTGAATGTTTTGCACCCAAATGTACAATAATAAATACATATAAATGTTAAACTAACATAATACGATAGACGGATCATGCAGTAGTGATGGAAGTCTAAAATGGTATTAATAGAAAAAAAATTTTCAGCCTTTATGCCTACAGTAAATTCGATGACGAGCGAAATAAAGTAATTAAAAAATAAAAAATAAAACTTATTTACAAACGTCATCAGAAAAAAGGAAATGAATTCAATTCAATCCTTATGTTCAATGGCTTCTAGGAGTGCTGTTTGGTTCGTTTACATCTCCACTGTCGCGTAGAGTGGAGAAGACGCGTTATATATAGAATGACCGGTAAAAAATTGAAGAAAAAAAAACAAAATCTAATTACATGTAGAAACGGAGCAATTCGTTGTAAAAGGAATAAAAAAAAATTAGTAATATTTTTTTTTGGAATTTGACATGTCTTTCTGACATTGACAGTTGCGTTTTTGATTTCTCTCACTGTTTGCGATCCGTCAATCGT